AATATAAGTTACATCACTTTAATTCAGACCCTCCAGTGGCTCCTGAGTTCACTCCAACTAAAAGCCAAAGTCATCACAATGGCCTAAAGAATTCTACTCAATCTCCCTTCCTTTCTCCCTCTTACCTACCCAACTTCACCTCCTACTAACTTGCCCCACCCCTCTCTCTTTGTGTTTGATAAAATCATGTACCTTTGAAATTCCCCATCTGTACTGACTACCACTTTTGTAAGGTTTAACCATCCACAGAGAAAGCTAGCCACTTTTTGGACTCTCTAGACTAGACAGGGTACACAGAGGGGTGTGGGGACAAAGAGAGTCACTGCATTCACGGAGTGTGGCCCACTGACCAATCTACACTTCTATCTATCCTATCAGTAGCAATGGGGTATCAGTCTTCCAGAATCACTTAAGGGCAATACGATGAAAATTCACCTCCAGAATCTGACAGTTTTAATCTAGCTTACCTTTCTCCCTTAGCAAATATGATGGCTTTAATGGAATCTTAGAAAATTAGCACTGGAGAGAACATGGGCCTCATCTGGCACCATCTTCTCATTTCCCAGACAAAGAAACTGAGACCCTTGAAAACAAAGCAACTTTTAAAAGCAAAGCAGAAGGCAAAACAACCCCTGATCTCTCTAACAACCAGTGAGGCCTTGGTTTGAGAAAAGTAAATTTGTTTATGAAGACTAATTAATAATGACATAAAACAGAAATAAGCACTACAAAAATATAACCTTCTACAAAATCATAAAATAGTTCTAGTATATGTTTTCATATATGGCCTTTTTAAAAAAATCTATGCCATAACAGTACAATGCTTTTACTAATAGTACTTTCTCCAAATTACCTGCGGGATATATGAATATTTCCCCTGCCTCTCTCTGTATAACGATATAATAGCAAAACAGTAATATTCTCAGACAGTGCTGCTAGAAATCATTTCACTGATAAAGAAATGAGAAAGGATGGGAAGAATTTGAAACTAGCTCTTTAATTTTGTTTGAAGGCATTTTCCTTGTGAAAATTAGTATTTCTCCAGAATGGAATAATTTCCTATTTAAAGCTTCAGTTGACTTGGCCTGGTTATAATGTGAAAGAGATTCAAACTGCTTATTGAAGGGGATTGCACAGAACCAAATCCAAACAAAGCAGAATTCCCTTCGAATTGTTCCATCCAAGTTTCCCTGGTCCAGATGGCTTCAATCGCCAGCCAGAGACTCCACCCACACCTTCCCACTCCCGCTGTGCACTGGCCCTGGACACACACTAATGACCCTCAGCTGTTCTGGCTCCCAGACTCATTTTCTTTTCCTGCCTGGCCACCCAACCTCCTATCTCCTACAGAGACAAAGGAAAGAGGGAAAAGGAGACACTTAGGAAAAATCATACCTTTGGGTAAATAGGATTTGCACTAATGAATCAGTTTCTTATTGCTGCTGTAACAAATTATCCCAAACATAACGGCTTAAAACGACACACACTTACATTCTGGCAGTCAGAAAGCCAACACGGTCTTAGGGAGCTAAACTCATGATGTCAATGGGACTGCATTCCTTCTGAAGGTTCTAGAAGAAGATGTGTTACCAGCTTCTGGATACTTCGGACTTTCCTTGGATCATGGTCACCTCATCCTGATCTCTGCTTCTGTCATTACATCTCCTCCTCTGACTCTGATGCTCCTGTCTCCCTCTTATAAGGATCCTTGTGATTATACCAGGCCACTCAGCTAAATTTCTACACAGTAATTTCTGTATCTCAAGATCCTTGATTTTATCATATATGCAAAGTTCCTAGTCTAACATATTCACAGGTGTTAAGATTAGGAGGTGGACATTCTCTTTGTTCTTTCTCTCACATCAGGTATGCCTAATATCATCTAACATCTATTATCAGGTACTACAAAGCTATACCTATGCCAACAGGTAAAATCATATACACAAACATATACATGTAGTGAATATGATGAGATAACAAGTCTATTATAGATGAAATAAAAGTCATAGAGTAATATCCATGATTATTATATCAGGTTTATTACAACTAAATTCCAGTACTTTGTTCATGGCAAAATATTTAAAGAGGAAAAAAAAAAAAAAGCACACTAGAGCCAATGGCCTATGAAGGGCTTGCTCAATACTCACCGCCATATACTGCCCAGGACTTTTCACCACCAAGACACCCAAAGCCTAAATAATTTAGTAGTGCTGTCAGAGGAGCTCTTCAGGCAGGCAAGGGCTCACACTCATAAAACTCCTCCCACCCAGAGTGATCAGGGGAGAACCCACACAGGGCCTCAGGCAGTATCTTCAGTGGGAGGAAAGAGGTGCAGTGAGAGAGTGCAACCAAGTCACACGACACTTCGAGTTAAAGTGAGAAAAGGATGAGATATAAGGAACCACAAGGAAAATGCTGGCAGGAACAGGAAATTAAGGATAAAGGCAAAGAGGAGATGTTAGTTTAGAACCTATTTGTTTCATTCAATTCAAATAGAAGTAGTCTGATAATAAATTTTTCATCTTCTTTCCTGCAAATCACTACCTGGCCACTTCCACCCTTATCCGCTTGGCCTTCTACCCCACATAAAGTCCATATTATACCAATGCCCTCCCACCTGCCCAAGGATTTTCTTCCTGAAAATGCCCCTAATCTCCCAAATTACTGATTTTTTTCCCTTCTGCCTCATTGTCATCATCATAAAACCATGTTATAACATCTCCCATCTTTTAAAAGACCCTCCTTTTATCCCACATCCAAACCATGCAACTGCTCCATATAGCTGATCCACATTCTACCCCTCAGAAAAAGCTTCCATTTTCACAGTCATCATTTTATCTCACACTCTTCCTTGAACCTATTTCAATCTGGTTTTTGTACCCACCCTCCCTACCCCATTTGTCAATGGCTTCAATACCTCCATAAAGCAAATCCAGTGGTTTAGGCATAGAGCTCATTTTTCTCAATGTCTTGGCAACAATGACACAACCGAGCACTCCCTTCTTGAAATGCGTACTTTACCTGGCTTCAGGGATGCCGCTCTCTGCTGGTTTTCCTCCTACTTCACTGGTCTTTCTTTCCCAGGTTTTTTTTTTTTTTTTTTTTTTTTGCTGCATTCTCACCCTATTTTTCTCTTTTTCCTCTGAAGACAGCCTGAGATTCAGTCCACTGCCCCCTTCTCTTCTCCACTTTTCTGCAATTGCTCTCTAAATGATCTCATTCACTCTGGTGGCTCAGATAGAACGATCTACATGCTAGGAAGTCCCAACTATGTATTTTCATTCTCAAATGTATTCCTGAACTCAAGATTCCTTTCTCTAGCATCCCAGGAGACACCAGGGGCACTCCAGGAAACAACAAGGCATTCTCCCCCACTGCTGTCTAGCTCAGTAAGCTGTTCACACAGAGATCCTCTGAGTCTTCCCTGACTCTTTCTCTCATGCCTCACATCTAATTTGACAGTAACTCTGGCCAGCTTTACATTAAAAAAATAATCCAGAATACGACCTCCTATTTTCCCTTTCATATCACTGTAGTCCAAGCCACTTTTACTTCTCCCTTAGAATCCTAAAATAACCTGCTTCCACTCTTGCCCTACATAATCTACTCTCTGATATTTATATGTATCTTTCTAAAACATAACCCAGGTCAAGTCCCTTCCTATCCCCAAATTCCCAAAAGTACTGCCATCATACGTAGACTGCACTGTCTCAGGGACTAACAAGCTCCTGTATCATGATGGTTAGGGTACTGATGGTTTAACATTAGTCTGTGGTTCCTTCATTCCTTAAATATTACTGCCTCAGAATACAAACCTTTCCATATTTTATAGCAAGAGGTTAAATGTCTCATGATAAAGAAAATTCCTTAGTGGTGCCTGGGTGGTTCAGTCAGTTAAGCATCCAACTCTTGATTTTGCCTCAGGTTATGAGTCCAGAGTTGTGAGATCAAGCCCTGCATCTGTCTCCACACTGGGCATGGAGCCTGCTTAAGATTTTCTCTGCCCCTCCCCACTTTCTCTCTTGAAAAAAAGTATCTTAGGAGATACTTTTGTGGTGACCATTATTTAGCATTTAAAGGCAAACTCCTAATGTTTATTTACTGTTATAAACATGTAGAGAGCTAACCTGAAAATATTTGCCTAGAAAGCCTTAAAGTGTATTTGCTTTATGTTTCCTTAATTCAAAACTGTTCCTAAAGTTCTCTTGAAACTTAGAGGATACTATTTTTGTTCAGATTATAAGCATATATGTCCTCACAAAATATCTTTTAAAAAGATTTTTTTGAAAACTTCCATAGACATGAAGGGAAAAGGGAAAAGATTCCTGAACCTAGCTATTCAGCAATACTCACTGGACAATTTTTAAATGTAACAAAGATGTATGCAATTTTGGAGTAACTCACCTTTTAAGTGACTAGAACACTGATTCTATTGACCAAGCTAGGCTTAATGTTCCTTCTGCTTAACTAAACTTCGAACAGTCTTCTTCCTGATTCTAGGTGCCTGATTTCCCTTCCCTTAGAACATTTACTCTAAAAAATTTCTAATTATAAATTCTTTCTCTGACCCTTTGAGTGGCAAACCTTTTTAAAAGCTTGTCAGTTTTACAACTAGCAAGGCATGTCTTTCTCCAGGACCTAGGAGCCATCCCTTTGAAATAATCATCCAGAAAAATAAGTACCCAGACCTTCCAGGCTCTGTGGGATGGTAGTGCCCTATCTGTCATGAGTGCCAATTAGCAAATACAGACGGCCTAATCACAGAGGACAACATGTGTCAAACTCAGGATGACTCAATTTGCTCCATCCCATTGATCAACCACCCAAGTCCTCCAGTACGTTTCCACTAGCTCCATTTCTGTTTCAGTGAGTGGAGTTTAATCTCTCTCCCTATTACGGTAGTCTTAAAGTCTTTCTTGCCTGTTTAACTTTGCCCAGTGCAATTTCAACTTTGACACCATAATCCCAGTACTGGAGATGACTAAGCTTTCAGTACTCACAGGCTTACCATCTTGACCAGATTGTCCAGGGTAGCCAGGGTTCCCAGGCTGTCCAGGTTCACCCTAGAAAGGGAAAAAAAAAAACAAAAAACTTCTCAGTACAAAACAACCAACCACACTGTTGCTATCAGAGACCTTCAAGGTTCAAGCCAATTCCATGATTTGTAGCTCTTTGTATATTTTTTTAAAATAAGAAGAACAACAACAGACATCTCAAAACAAGGTTAGAAAAACAATGGCATATTTTAAATGACGACTTTACCAAATAAAGACTTTTTATTACATAAACTTTTCAGTGATTTATTTCTATGATCACACCAGGTATAACAACTAAAGTACTCTTCACCAATGTAAAATGTCAATATTTATGTCAGGATACATTTTTAGAATTCTGAACAAACTGAAGTGTCATAGCAATATGGTCTCAATGATAGCCATCTTTCTTTCATAATTCTATTTAGACTTAATTCTATTCTCAGTAGTACACTACAGATATCAATGACCTATGATGTAATAATTTGATTTGCAATTATTTATTAAAAAAAAAAGTCTGGGGCACCTGGGTGACTCAGTGGGTTAAAGCCTCTGCCTTTGGCTTGGGTCATGATCCCGGGGTCCTGGGATCGAGCCCCGCATCGGTCTCTCTGCTCAGCAGGGAGCCTGCTTCCCCACCTCTCTCTCTGCCTGCCTCTCTGCCTGCTTGTGATCTCTGTCAAATAAATGAATAAAAATCTTTAGAAAAAAAAAATTTTTTTAATAAAAAATTTTTTAAAAAGTCCACAGGCTATACAATCTTTCATACAAGATTCAAGTTTAAAGCAGCATGACAGTCATTTCTTTTATTCTAGTCAATGTGTTTCTTTGCCTATATTTGTAACTTCATTTTAACATAATGTTAAAATTTTTACATCTGAATATTTACATGAGAGCGAGGCCCAAGCCAAACAACTCTACCCAACCCCCATAGTCCTTGAACACAAGGACTAATAAGTGAAGAAATGACCTTTGCCCCCACAAACCAAGGATCTCCAAAGAACATTATTCCATACAATATGACAATGAGCCCAGGCACATTCTAAGGAAATTCTAGTATGTTGTCCAATGGCCAGTACTGACCATTTGATTAGTCACCACCCATGAAAAAAAACCAATGAGAGCAACACTTTTTGTGAGGTGAGGATGTTGCATAATCTAATTCTAAAAAAGACTTCAAAATTAGTATCATATTAATCTATTGCTGAATCCATGAGAGCCACATGGGCCATCTTACTTAAAAACATGAAGTCTCAATAATCAGTATCAGTAAACTCCTGCACAGAGGCAAGGCAGCTGATTTCAGTTCATTAAGTCATTATTTACATTAAGAACTCATTCACACAGGACTCCAATAATTTTAAATTAACTAAACACCAATACTAAGGTTACTTTCACAGAGCCAAATCTGCAGATCTGAAATACTACTTCAGGCTACTGGCTACAGAGAGCTGTTCCTGAAACATAACAGGAAAAATGGAAAGAACTATGTGAACCCTATTAAGTGGCCAATGGAGAAGGGTTGGGCTTTTCACTTAGGAGCTGCCCAAGAGACATAGCATGAGGAAGGGTTGAGAAGAATGGAAATGTTATTTTTAAAAGAGAGAAAGAGAAAGAATAACTGTAAATACAGGGAGAAACATGTCCTGTCTTGCTGAAGAGACAGAATTTATAATTCTAACCCAAAGACTTCCAGTGTTAGCTGGGCATTAAGGAGTAACATTCTGGTTCTCTAGGGAGTTAGTTTTTCTCTTCTTATTTTGAGAGGATCCACATTAATCTCTAGCCTCTCTGCCATCCTTTAACCCTGTTCAAACTGAACTTGTTATCCTTTCAACAAATTACATCTTTTCTTCCCCTGACAAGAAGTTTTTCTTCCTTTTCCACTTAAGAATCCATCATTCCTTTTTTCCTTACTGTCTTTTTCTATTGAAAGGCTAAGCAGCTTCTATCACTTATCCCTTACTCATAAGCAGAGTTTTCTCAGTCTTCCCTTGATTAGTCTTCATTTATCATTTGGATTGAAAACAGAGTCTTTATTTTCTCCTTTTTTTTGAATGGTTGAGAGGGTTGATAATGCTGGGTATCAAGCAGAACTTCAATAACTATTTGCGGATTTACTATAAATCTTATTTCCTGTTAATGATCCCCTTTACTTGCAGAGTATTATTATCAGCAAAATCTAGGATATCAAAAGGACCTGGGATTTATCCTCTACTGTGATAAAGCTGGAATACAGCTTTGATAAAAGAATAAATGAAATTTGTTTTTAGCACTGTGTCAAAGCATAAAACATATTAACAACATTTTAAATAAATAAAAACTAAGTTTCCAAGACCAAAAAAAAAAAAAAAAAAAAAATCACAAGATAAATCCAATGAGACTTTAAAAGGACCATAACACTGGTAAAGAGCCCCAAGAGAGAAAATAACCTTTTGCAGGTTCTATTATTGCTGGTAAATTTTACTGGTTATTTTGACTATTGCCCTATTGATTTATTTGCAAAAACCAGGAAGGTTTGGTGGTGTTTCCATTAAATTGGGAAAATAAAGACAGACACTAATTTTGGAAAGAAAACCAATCAGAATAAAAATTCAATTGTATTACTGTAATAAAAGCTGATGCTCTACCTGGATTGTTTATTATATGCTAAGCACGGCTGTAAGAGATTTACATATGCTAAATTACTTAATCCTCATAATAATCCCATGAAGCAAGTAATTTTATTATTCTCATTTTTTATATAGGAAAACTGAGGCCCCGAAAGGTTAAGTCACTTGCTAAGGTCACACAGCTCTAGTGGAGATGACACTTGAACTCAGCCAATTCAGCTCCAGAGTCCATGCTCCTAAACACTACTATCCCTGCCCATAATTAACATGTTAATTAGAACCAGACCTGGGAACTGCTAGTAAACTTAACAAAGGAACAATTTCCAAATACATTAAATGAGACATAGGAGCTATTATTATACAACTGTGACTAAATTCCCAATCCACTTTCTTCTAATTTAGTTGAAACATTTGCACATTTCGAATTTTAAAAACTATGTGTTCAGCTGAAAAGCAGGACTTACTTATGTTCAATTGAACTTGTGCCACAGGATTTTTGAGTTGTTGACAGGAGTGGAAATGTCATGGACTAAGCTGAAACATCTCTGAATATGGCCTCTCAAGTAGTATAAATATGAATAATCAAAGTAAGAAACAGTTGTGCTTGCAAAAGCAAGCTAGTATTTTCAGTTGCTCATCTAAAACAAATGTCTTTGGAACTCTTCGCCTAGGCCCAAATCCTATATGTTCAAGCCCTCTTCTCAAAACTCCTTGTGGCTTCATGCAACCCTCCAGACTCCACAGGAGTATCTGACCTAAAACCTATACACTTTTCCTAAACTAACCTCTTCCCTCCCTCAAAACTCAAACACCCACACTCTCAGGCTAGAAGGAATCCACTTAATCTGGGAAAACTAACATAAAAATGTGAATGCCCAGTGGCCCCTGAAATTTTCCAAAGGCTTTTGTATTTTAAACAGAGGACACTTTGATAGCCTGAATGAATCTCTAATGGTGGTATCTGGAGGGTGAAACAAAGGAAATCAACAGAAATACAGTGGTATAGAGGGTGGTATTTCAGAGAAAAGGATTAGTAAGAAATTGTTCCTTCCTCAAAAGAAAAAATGCCTTCTTTCCACTTCTGAAACAAAAGACCTAACATCAAGGTTAGATCAAACATGGGGAGTTTGTCCTCACAAACGTTCTTACTACTGAAGTGGGGGAAGAAGTTGCCATTTACATGGAAAGGTCTTTTGAAAAGGGGGGTTGTAAGTTGGGGATTGCCTGGATCTTTCATATCACAACAAAGCCATCCCATATAGGTTAACTGGGAAGAGTGAATCTTATTTTTTCAACGACTTCCTAACTCATTAAATAAAAACTATTACCATTAAGCACTGTGTTAGACACTAGAACTCCAAGGGAGAATTTATTTGTATTAACCTTCATTATGAAGTGCTTGCATATAAAAAGTATTCCAACAGATTTATTAATTTGATCACTCCCTATGTTTGACATTAGGAATACAAAAATGAATTAGCTATTCTTCAAGGAACTCATACTCCAGTAACATAAATATATTTCTATGATTATAGAGTTATAATGCCATGGTGAGTCTAAGATACCATAGTTAATTTGACCTGGTTTTCCCAATAGGGTTGTCATGTCTTTTGGAAACTCAGATAATTTTAACAGATGAGTTTATCTTTGAATAAGCACTGACCCACCTATCCACACAAGAATTTCTCCTGTTTCAGTATGAGAACTCAACTCTCAGCTCCCACAACTCTATTTCTGGCTAACAGGAAGACAAGATCTGTTCTTCACAGGTAACTCTGTTTGATGGACATCTGCAAAACCTTCCAGAGAACATCTAACAAAAATGGCCAATAAGTCTCAGTTGGAGCTACAGGAAAATGGCTTCCTCTATTTTAGTTCCAGTTCTGTTAATCTAATTAAAACCCTCTTAATTCCCCAAGCCAGAAATTCTCTGAAGGAAATACAACTCAGAGTGTTGCTAGGGATTCTGTTTTTCACATACAGGTCCCTGATGTGGGTAAGGAACCACCTCCAGGGGAAAGAGCCCTAAAAGTATGGAAGAGTGTGTGTGTGTTCCTGTCCTCTGGCCAGATTTTCTGAAGAAAATGGAAAGCAGATCAAGAAGGCACGCCAACTTAAAAGATTGGTGGAAAACTGCAATTTCACTTAAAGAAGTAGGTGGCAATAGCACGAGATTATGACTTAAGAAAAGAAAATGAAAATGAGGAGCACATGAAACTTGGAAATACTCCGGTATAAGAGGCTTGACCAGATAAGACAAAGGGTGTACTAAAAATCTGCTGCAGAAACAAACACGAATAAGAATTGATGTCACTTCAAGACACCTAACAGACCTCTAGTAAAGATTCAGAAAACATCAGAGATATCTGATGCCTCCCCAAAAGTAGACAGCCCTTTTAGAGATCCTGAGGGTGGCCTGAACCTCCCTGGGAGTCAGAAAAGCACACGAGGTTTTAAGAGGTCAGACATTATACACATCTGATTTCCATATTTTATCTCTTACAGCTCAAATCACTTTTATGTGTAATATTCCAAGTTGAATAAACTACGTGTATATGTGTGTGTGTGTGTGTGTGTGTGTGTTTATGTGCGTATATAAATATATATGCTTTAAAAGAAGTCTGCTGGTAGGTCACATTAAGTTGTCTTACAAGTTATATTCTCCCAGGAGTATCCTATAGGCATTTCTTTTTTTTTTTTTCTTTTTAAGATTTTATTTATTTATTTGACAGAGAGAGATCACAAGTAGACAGAGAGGCAGGCAGAGAGAGAGAGAGAGAGGGAAGCAGGCTCCCTGCCGAGCAGAGAGCCCGATGCGGGACTCGATCCCAGGACCCTGAGATCATGACCTGAGCTGAAGGCAGCGGCTTAACCCACTGAGCCACCCAGGCACCCCTAGGCATTTCTTCTTTATGTCAAGGAACCCTAAATAACATGCAGCTGCTTTAACTAAAGAACAAAGAACACCTGGATTAACTTTCCTAAATGAAATCTAAAAATAGCTTTGTGCAGTGGCAGTATCGTAGCCAATGAGGTTTATCCGAGGCGCGATTATTGCTAATTGAAATCTAAAAATAGTTTATGTTTATAATAGTTTATAATAAACTAAAGTCAAATTCCAAGCCAAACAGTTTACTGTGAATGAGATAGTGAATGTATACTTTTACTTCTTAAATTACATTTCTTTCTTGATTTTAATGTGAGGTCTGAAGTAGGCCATGAGCTACCAAATAAAAATGTGATGAGCACTGGGTGTTACAAGCAACTGATGAGTCACTGAACACTACATTAGAAACTAATAGTGTACTATATGTTGGCTAATTGAATTTAAATTTAAAAAGTGGATGGGAGAAACATGCATAAAAGATGGCAGGAAACAAATTAGATGAGCAGTTTAAAAGCTAAAATTTTCAGTCATGGTGACTGAAACACTAAGGAAATTCCATCTAAATAAATGTTACAATTCATATTCAACAAAAGTTAATAAATGTTGCGTGGACACCTAAAGCAATAAAAGATCAATACTCTTTTTGGCAAGGGAGCCATATCCAATTTCAAGTTAGGCATTATTTTTATTTAAGTGATATTTTAAGATAATATTAAATGAATAAGATTTAGTGGTACCTGGGTGGCTCAGCTGGTTAACTGAACAACTCTTGATTCTGGCTCAGGTCATGATCTCAGGGTCGTGAGACCAAGCCCTGTGTTGGGCTAAGTACTTGGCACAGAGCCTGCTTAAGATTCTCACTCTCCCTCTGCCCCTCCCCCCACACTCATTTGCAGGCTCTCTAAAATAAATAAATAAATAAATCCTAAAAAAAATTAGCAAGATTTATATATAGTAGACAAACCACTTAATATCTCGGTATCAAGCTAAGTCTAAGTGATCCCACAGTAAGTATTAACTTAAAAACATTCATTCATACTTAATAGCACAGAAGCATATTCAGACTTTTTAGTTATATAAAAAGTAGCTGGTTATAAAATGGTATGCACATCATGGCCCCAATCATATAAAGATGTATACACAGACAAATATGTAAACGTACACATAAACTCTATTCACACACAAATCAATAGATGGAAGCAGAACATGTGTGTATATGAACATGACAGAACATACACCCCAAAAGCAATTACTGCACGATTAAGTAAAATTAATATATATGCCTCAGTTTTTAGAATTAGACATCAAACATAACACTGAAATCAACTTTAACACTTCTACTCTTATTTTCTACCTGGAAATCATTTTGAGAAAATAAGGATTCAGAAACATAACTCAACAAATGCCATTTCTTCATTTTTTATGAGGTTGTAAGGAGATACCGTACTGGGAATCTGGCAGCAGTGTTTGGAAAAAAAACAGACAGACCAGCAAATAAACTACTAGTACTCCCTCACTGTACTGTGGCTAGGTGGTACCAGTTCTAGGTTCAAAGGCAGTATAGTCTGGAATACACTCTTTAAAAAAATCACTAAAACTCAGGTTTTAAACCATTCTAAAGCATTAGGTAGAAATTTCACAACAGCGTCAGTGGTGACTAGGAATTTTGTGCATTTGCTCACCTCTAGTTTGTGTGTATTAACAAAAAAAGCAAGTTCGGTATTACTCACTTTGGGGCCTTGCAGTCCTGGTTTTCCCGGAGGACAAACACAGGGAGCTGGAGTTGAACCTACATCACTGGGACCATTGAGGCACTACAGAGACAAAAATGGAAATCAACAACAAACATGGAAAGACACATGTATATCTGTACGTACGTTAGTATGTGTAGGTGTCTGCACATATGTGTGAAGCTGGAAAGATATCTTACGTCTACTTTCCAATATTATTTAGCACAATCCATTAAGAAATTCTGAATCACAAAAAGCTATGAAAACTAAATGCACTCAAAATACATAAAAATAAGTTCTATTTGTCTAATATACTTACAGCTGATAGAAGGAAGCAAAACAGTCCCACAATACAAATATTACCTTAAGGAGAATAATAGCTTCCAGGCCTACCTCACCATTCTGAAAGAAAAAACAACAATGAATGTGTTTTAAAGGACACTTTTAAATTTCTAAATTATCATCCTAATTTATAGTTATTTCATTGTACAGGTTCTAGATACATGAAGTATCAAAACCAGCAAAACCTAAAACATGTACGTGCAACTCCCCTAAAGAAAATGACATTAATATATGTTGACATTTACAGTAGGATAAAGGACAGACTCGAACAACAATGAAGAGTGGAAGAAGAAAATGGAAATGCCAAAGCTGCTTGGTATAATGGCCACACAGGAGCAAAAATACTCCAGGGTGAGATTTATATGTTCTCTTGAACTTTCTGGAAGTCATTTGAAAACCAAAGGAAAAAGTCAAAACACATCTAAGAAAGTCACAAATCTTGTGCATTACATTTTTTGCATTTTATTTTAGGAGACCTCCTCACCAAAAAATCTGCTTCTTACTGAATAATACACAATTTTAAAAAGGTTAATAATCTTTCCAGACAATAACAAATTAGATCAAAAAAGGAGAAAATGGGAATAAAGACGCAAAAGGTAAGCTACATGAAGTCACATCCGAGAGTAAGAAAGGAGACATAAAAACTCAGAAAAGTGAATGTAAGAACTCAAAATCTACCATCTATCCCTGTGCTTTTATGATGTGGGAGGGAAATGGTCATAACATCGATGCAGAAATACCAATAAATAGAGTATATAAAATGGACTCTCAGAATGTAATCATGTATTAATACTTTTAGGAGAGACTAGAGGTCTGTATTTCAAGTTATAAGTATCTAATATAAAAGTTACAGTGTTTAAACAATTACCTCTCTAAAAAACCAAGAATGAATCATTTCTAAAAGGTTCCATGGTTGATATTAGAGAGCCTTTAAATGCACTATTCTACATCCTCAAGTTTTCAGAACATGTGGATTTGTAGGTTATCCAGTTTGTTAGGAAAAAAAGATAATGGTAGCATGACTCTACAAAATAAAAGAACTATGACATGAGCTCAAATGTTACTGCGAATCCTCACTGCGAAAAGTTTAAAACATTCTTATTTGCATTACAAAAATATGGCTTTTTATTTTTTTGCCCAAGGGAAAAAGGATTACACATACACAAACACCACAAGCACACATATGTCATCAGACTCTAACATTTTAGCTTATAATTTTTGCCTCCTAACACAGTAATGAAAATAACCAGGTAAAGAAAAGTTACTTATATCCTCGAAATACAAGAAAATCTTCCTTAGGTAACAACAAAAAGAAACCTGTATATTCATTATGGTTTGAGAAAATGTGCTGGTGAACAGGAAAATTCATCACTTCCTATTCTTTAGAACTGTGCTGTGTAGGATATTCTGTCCACGCATTTAATTAAGTATAGAAATGTATTTTACGCTCTGGATAGTCAAAGAATCCTAGATTTTCCTAGAGCAGGTCCAGCCCTGTTTCACTTGAGTGCCGGAAACATCACACTCCGAGGGGTGAAAAAAACATTTCCTTGTGCTCTTCCATTTACACTTGCACAGTGATACATTATCATTTCACTTCAATTATGAACCTCAAAATATGTTTTAATCAATGTGACTTTAACTGCACTGACAACAAACAAATTAACTCTGTAATTAAATTAAGGCTCACATATTATCTTTTATTTACTGCTCTGAAAGTACTGAAGGGACACGGGAAAAAGGAATTCACCCTACTCACAAATCCAGGAATCTCACATGCTGTCTCCCGGTTGTTCCGTTCTGGGTCACAGTAGATTCGCAACTTCTGGACATCAAACTAGGAACATAAACCCCATCATGTTAAAATTGAGACCCAAGTTAACTGCTTCATAAGAGTGACCCAACTACATGAGCAGTCACGGAAGGCTTACATCACAGCACTTAGCTAAAAAATAACAATACAGAATTTAAATACCTATCATACAGTTTAAAAATGTGATAAAACATAATTCATAAGGAAAACTCTAGCACCAAAAACAAATGTCTAATTTCCTTCAGGAACCCACTGGAGCTTTTTTTAGTATCTATACTAAGAGCTAGCCTAGAGAGCATTTCCTGGGACACTTAAAAGCTTTCTCAGGCCTTCTGTGTTTATCCTAAATCTTTACATTTCTGATTACAAGAGTGGGCTTAAGAAGTCATCTTTGGTTTCAGAGATTTAGTTACTGGCATTGCTGGTTGTGAAATGAGTAGTCCAAGCACCTGTTGCTGTTAAAATACTTACTATACTCTGACAGGTAACATGAACGTATAGAGAGCATGGTGTAATTTGAATATGACAGTCTTCCCTTCATAGAAACAGAGCAGGAAAGTATAACTTTTCAAATAAGGACTGTCCAAGACATGGCTATCCTTTTATATACACATTTCTCAACCCACACAGATACTCCAGTTTTTTAAAAAAAATCAAAAAAATAACAGTTTTAAGAAGAAAGCGTCTTGAAACACATTAATCTGATTGTAACCTCACAGCTGCAGGGAAATTTTATAGTTCCCAACTCACAGCTCAATCACAGTCTCTTTTCCACGTTGTTATTTAATCTATGCTTCTCCTGGGAAATATGAAATTAATGTTTCATAAGAATGCAGAATTCTACCCTGAACCCAGGGGAACAGTTTTCTAAGAATTCTTATAAAATCTATTAAGCCTAATTTTGCATTTTCATCCACACACTCAAACACACAACTCCACTAATAAACTGACCACATTTTGTTTAAGTGTCTTAAAGGAACTAATAATTAAGTTAAATACAGTTAAATGTGAGAAATACTACCACAAAGGACCACAAAAGCTCGCTTTATACAATGCAAAAAGCAAATGATTTTTTATCAACCTGAACAGTTTCTTCTTTCCCAGAATACTTTCCAATTTGAGTTTGCCCGCTGATGAAGATCCCTAAAACTGGATGTAAGGGCTTGTTTTCAATTTGTTGATCATCGATATACAGAGTTACATCTTGTTCTGTTACTAAGAGACGAATTTGATGCCAGCCTTCATCAAATAATGTCTATAGGAAGAAAGTATGAAAGATTTCATAAATAAAATTCCTAACAATCTTTCATTTTCTTTGTTTCCATTCCTTTGCCACCAGCCATAAATCCACACCACACAGACTGGATACATTAAATACTAATTCACGCTGACCCAAGTTGGGTCTCAAATTCTACCTACCAATTAATTTATGAAGCCCTAAATTTTACCCACCAATTAATTTAACTACTTACACATTACAAGTGAGTAGATGTATCAAACAATTTACTGAAGCAACTCCCTCAAGGTCACAAACTCCTAATCTCTGAATCCCATTCCTCATCCTATTTACTTCATTGCAACTTTAGATCTTTACCAGTTCATCTTCCTTCAATTTATCCTCATAAAACTTCCATAACTCAAACCATCTTGATCATCTTCATTTCTTCTTCTACAATTGCTCATTCTCTATTTCTTTGAGGGCTTCTCTTCCTCACCTGTCTTTTAATAAGTTCATTAACCCAGAGATCTGTCATTGACCTTTCTCATTCTCCCCTTTGATTATCTATTCCTACAGGTCAGTCATTACGTCTATGGAATAACTCCCATATCTACAATAGCCTGGACCTCTTTCCTATTATATGGGATCTGTAATTCTAATATTGGCTAGTATAGTTTTACCAGGATATTTCACAATCAGCCTGAGGGAGGGTATAGCAAAATGAATTTGAACTATCCCCAAAACTTTCTTCCTCTCAGTTTCCCTTGGATAATAATATCCTTAGTTTCTAAACTGCAGCAAGTGTCTTTACCTCTTGCCCTTCCCTCAGTTGCAATAATCACCAGATGCAAAGCTCTACTAAATATGTCTCTTAAATATGACTCAAATTCACTTCACCGTTTCCACTTTCATTGCCATAGTTTATATGTTTATGCACAACTTGCTTTATCTGAATAATTTTCAAACATATCTCTAACTCTTCCCTTTCTAAGCCATCCTTCATACCTCCACTATAATTAATTTCTCTCACTATAATGCTGTCAGAAAAGATGCCATATCTTATTAATTTCTGGATTCCCAGCACCTAGCCCAATTCCAGAACATGGAAGAAAAAAATTTTTTGAAAGAAGACAGAGCTGCTTTGACCACGACACACCTATGACTCAAGACCTTTTGATGAAATCCTGTAACCCACTGGATGAAGCCCAAAACCCTTTGTGTGGTTTCCAGATCCCCACAAATTGAATTCACACCTTAATGTAATCTTTCATGTATCTTATACTCCAAACATAGGGGACACCACTTTCTCTTCTCAAAATAAAAACCTTGCATTTTACTATACGTGAGTACTCAACACTGAACCACTGACGCATATACCCTTAGCTCTCTTCACCAAAATCCTGTATGTTCTTCAAGGTCCAGTCCAAAAAGTATCTCATTAATAAGACTTGCCCACATTTTGTGTTAGAATCTACTTTTCCCTCTACACTCCATTAATACCTTGTACTTCTATTAGATACCAGAGGCCTTTAACCTTCCATTATAAATAAGTTCCTTGAAAGTGTGAAACATGCCTTATTTGTGATTTCTTACAGAACCCAGCACATTGACTTTAATAAAAATGGCAGCCCAAATTTCAAGAAATTTAATCTGCTTACCAAATGAAGAAATTGTACAGGTGGCATAATATTATATACAACCTGTATATTTCCTAAAATTAATACAATATTCTCTTAGATTATAATTATAATAATGATCAAAACATAACTGTGTCTATCATTCCATCTGTATTCTGACCACATTTGACTTGGAAAATACACTTTTATTTTTTGTTTACCAATTTTATTAAATATAGGTTCCTTTGGGGAAAACAAAGCCTTCTCCTAATAAATATGAATTCTGTACCTATTATCTACCTGTATTTAAGTTTCTAACAAATGTCTTTTTCTCAGTATCTTGTTGGACATGGCAGTGTGAGATGAACCAACATGACTTTGAAACAGATGAGACTTAACTTCAATTCCTGATGTCACCATTTATTAGCTGTGTTAATTTGAGATGGAACCTAATATACTTGAAACTTTTTTTTTTTTCTATATAGTGACAGCAATAGCTTCTGCATTGGGTGATATAATTAAATGTTCCTGGCATCTACGAGCAGGCACTCAAAAAATGTGAGTTCCCTCCACTCCGTAATCCCATCTAAGAAACAATTTTCCTTCATTTGTTGCTTTTATTCAGTAAACCAACACTAAAACTAGGAAGTCAGTATCTTTTCCGCCATGTTAAAATTATGAATCTCTTTCTCCAACACACACAAACCTGGTGGTAACTCCCATGAATACCATCATAATCATACCTAGGAATCTTTACCTTAACTTGAGAGTCAGCAAAAGTGACCACTTGTGAGCCATTAATTATGCTGGTTGTTGTAAATAGTAATGTTTTATCCACACCATTTAAGGTAACTGCAATTTGTGGCCTTCCATCAATGGTTAAAATTCTCCATAGATCCCACATTTTCTTGACCTTAAATCTCTGCGTGGAGACAAATACATATGATGGAGGAAGACCTTCTGGGAAAACATTGCTAGAAAAAGGAAAATACACATAAGCTTAAAGAATTCTCAATACATCTATAAACACATCAAAAACAAAAAGGTTGTATCAACACATAACATATACCTTGTGAATTCTGATAAGTCAACTTTTGATGTTACTTCATATCCTTTTATTTTTGTTGGTGAAAGTGGGATTCTTTTCTTAACCTTTTTCTTTACACCCAAGCCTAAAAGAATATCAAACCCTTTCTCATCTCGAGCTGCCACTGGAATTCGTGTTGGACAGACAGATTCTATAAATCCAAACCAAAAGCAGTAAACATTGATTAATCATGGATTACTTCAACAAGAAAATGAGAAATATTAGAGAAAATAATTATAAAATCTGTAAATGCACACAAATATACATAAATGGATGTAAATGCATTTTCTGAGAAAACATGCAAGAGTCTCAAATGTCGTTTTTCCCCTAAGAGGGGAAAAAAGTAAAACAGAAATAGGAGAGAAACATTTGTTAATAGATTGCCTTAATAACACTATTCTGACATTTATAAATCACTATTTTGAATGCAGGGCAACCTAATACCTGGGGGGTAGCATACTGGAATGGCATTGATGATTCTCATCCAGGATTTGCTATTAACTTGTCACATGACTCTTCATAACTCTTAAATTTCTTGGATCTGGGAGGTGAACTCCAAGATTCCTTTCTTTCATTCCCAGCATTTGAGGAGTAAAAAAATAAAAGTGTCATTCTTGACATTCTTTCCAGTTTCAGCAACTGATAACTCTATAGTTCAAATATCATTGGTTCTATTACTCTGGAAAAAAACTGTAGGTCTTTTCTTTCATGAAAGTTCTTGAAATGGGTCGATTATCTAATCTATGATTAATAATATTATTATATTAATCATATTTATAAATAAAGACTATTTCCTTAAGAAGAATCATTAAAGGTGCCTGGGTGGCTCACATGGTTAAGTATTTGCCTTCAACTCAGGTCATAATCTCAGGGTCCTGAGATCGAGCCCCACATCAAGCTCTCTGCTCAGAGAGGAGTCTGCTTCTCTCTCTCACTCTACCTCTGTGTTCTCTCTCTTGCTACCTCTCTCTCAAATAAATAAGTAAAAGTCTTTTAAAAAGAATCATTAAGATTTGTATTATACAGTCATCTGTATAAATTATAAAAATATGGCATGCTTTTCACTTGCTGGGAAACTAGTATCTGAAATTATGTGGAAAATTTTATATGGCTGAAATGCAATAAAGCTGTTATATTGTAAAAATGTTGCAATATTTTCAGATTCTTCCAAGGCCCTCATAATATATACTTTGAGCATGACTGCTTATATTTTATAGAGCAGCTAAGAAAATAAAACAAGAACAAACTCACTGAACTTCTTTAAGATAATCACTCTCTTACACAACATTAAGAAGGAAAAGTATCATATTTATGATACAATAAAAAGTAATGAGATGGATTTTATTAGCCCAACATGTACAGTCATAACTCATACTACAGAATATTGGAAATAAAATAAAGGTTTGATATAAATAAAATTACAAAAATTCCTGGAAAAGGAGGGGCATTTTTCTCTGCAGGTCTTGAATCTTAAGTTTTGAAGTAACCCAGTGAATTACATCCTTCTCTGGTAAGTCTGGAACCAAGTGAGGAGGAGATATAGGAATGAGGTAAACAGGTGTTGATTAGACACATGATCTAGTGAGTTTCGTGAGATGCACACCATAACGAAACCCCTCACACCATCCCAACAGCACAGGGCTGAGTTATTTCCCTATCCCACCTTAGAAGCGGGGCCTGCCCCCTAAGCTCACACCTGGTCTACAGAGAAAACCAGAACACCCTAGCTCCGCAGACACACTGAGCCAAGGAGAAGAAACCCTTGCCAACCATGACCAGCTACTTTTATCAAACTCACTCATCTGAAAACTGATTTTCTCATTCAGTGATAAGAAGCTAAAAAAAAGGGTGGCAGAGGGATCAGAAGAGCTAACCTAGCTGAAATCCCTCCACATGAAAACACGAGAAGCAGAATGTAAGAGTTTCTAATAACACTATGTTATACAGTTTAAATCATAAATCAATTAATAAAACTAAATATTTCCTGTCATGAAGCAGGGTTTCTTTTTTGGCAGGTGGGGAGGGGGGTAAGTATGCAGACCAATACATGAAGCCTCATGTTAGATGCCTTTGATTTAAAACTGCAAAAGTTCAGCTGAAAGGAAAATATTACATCATAAAAATATTCAGATTTGAACTGCTCCTTTGATTTGCTTTACAAATGAGAAATTATAAATATTGGATTAAGATCTCAGACTTAAGAACAGAAGGTTTAGACTTAAGCCTTTCTCTTAACCTCTCCTGAACCTCTGGATTCTCATCTGTGAAGGGAAAATAATAATCTCCTTCACAGGGTTTGTCTGAGGATCATATGTAATGATGTATGTGAAAGTGCTTTGTAACTCCAATATGGAATGGAAGCGCAGGGGATAAAGCAAGTATTGTGTCCATCATTTTGCTCTAACAATGTCCTTTACACTGCCTTGTAATACCCCAGATTTTATGGGGAAACAGTGTGGCACAGCTTGTGAAATCAAGAATGAACAATATAGCCACGTTTTCTTTACTACCTAGTACATCTAATTAAGAAGCATAGATTTAAATAATTATGTTTTCCTGAAGGTCATTTTTCTTTCCAGTTCATTCACTTGCAAGAACAGTATCTTAGTACATGAAAAGTGAAAAAAAAATGTAGGGAAAATGCTCAAATACAGTTTTTATGTTTGTATATATGTAGTTATAGGAAACAGGTAAAAGAAGTTTCCATATGTAAAATGTTACTTTGATAACCAACCAACAATTTCTGCACAAAAGAGAGATAAATAATTAATTTCCCCATTGTGTAGAAAAAAGAAATGCATGTTTAAGTATACAAAGCACATCCAGACCAAAGTATGGAAACTCAAAATAAAAACTAAAATGTGGAAATTATAATTTTAAGTACCAGAAAAATCAAATGTTAAGAGAGACAGAGTTGGAAGCTTGCTATAATCCTTACAACAGGTAATTAGAAAAATCTAGGAAAATCTAGATAAATAATTTATTTTAAAGGAATGCATTCAGGAGGAAAAGTAAACAAAATAGAAGACCGAAGTTCACAAAGATTTCTATACCAACTACACAGTTCTAATTTCATTCTACTCCAATATGTTTGGAGTATTCAGGGTAGGAATGCTTTCTCAGATGAGCAAAGATAACTCTATTTTAAACCTCTGGGGCCAGTAATACCTGCCTTTCAGTATGGATGATTTATTTTTGCTTTTGTTTCCCTTCCTTGCCTTTGGAGGTAAGAAATATCTAGAAAAATTCTCCCGTGGCTAAAATCACTGCCTGTATTCTCTTCTAGGATATTTATGATTTCAAGTTCCACATTCAGTGTGGAAATCCACTTTCAGTTTAACGTGGAATGGGAGAAGATATTTGCAAATGATATATACAATAAAAGGGGTTAATATCCAAAATATATAAAGAACTTAAAACTCAATACCAAAGAAACAAATAATCCAATTAAAAAGTAGAGAATATGAATAGACATTTTCCAAAGAAGATATAGACATATGGAAAGATGCTCAATATTACTAGTCATCAGAGACAAATCAAAACCACAATGAGAATGTAGTGATCTGAAGGGGCACATGCACCTGAATGTTTATACCAGCAATGTCCACAATAGCCAAACTATGGATAGAACCTAGATATTCATCAACAGATGAATGGATAAAGAAGATGTGGTATATATCTACAATGGAATACTATGCAGCTATCAAAAGAAATGAAATCTTGCCATTAGCAATGACATGGATGGAACTAGAGGGTATTATGCTGAGTGAAATAAGTCAATCAGAGAAAGATAATTATCATACAATCTCTCTGACATGAGGATTTTCAGAGGCAGGGTGGGTGGTTTGTGGGGTAGGGAAGTTAAAAATGAAACAAGATGGGATCGATGGGGAGACACACCATAAGAGACTCTTAATCTCACAAACAAACTGAGGGTTGCTGGGGAGTGGGGGGAGGGAGAGGGTAGTTGGGTTATGGACATTGGGGAGGGTATGTGCTATGGTGAGTGCTGTGAAATGTGTAAGCCTGATGATTCACAGACCTGTACCCCTGGGGCAAATAATATATGTTAATATAAATAATTTTTAAGAAAACATAATGAGATATCACCTTACACCTATCAGAAAGACTAAAACCAAAAAGACAAGAAAGAACAAGTGTTGGCAAGGATGTGGAGAAAAAGGAACCCTTATGCACTGCTGGTAGGAATGTAAATTGGTGCAGCCACTGTGGAAAATGGTATGGAGGATCCTCAAAAAATTAAAAATAAATATTCCATATGATCCAATAGTTCCACTACTAGGTAGTTACCCAAAAAAACCCGAAAGCACTAATTCAAAAAGATATATATACTCCTATGTTTGTTGCATCATTGTTTATAATAGCCAAGATACAAAAGCAACCTAAACATCCACTGAAAGACAATGGATATACACATGCACAACAGAATCTTAAACTGCCATAAAAAAAGGATGAGATTTAAAAAGAAAAAAAAAAAGGATGCAATCATGCCATTTGCAACAACATAGATAGACTTAAAAGGTAGTATGCTAAGTAAACTAAGACAAAGAAAGACAAATACCACATGATTTCACTCACATGTGGAACAAAAAAAAAAAAAAAAAAAAAACAGGAAAAAAAAGGGAATAAACAAACAAAAAGCAGAAACACACCTGTAAATATGGAGGACAAACTGATGATTGCCAGAGGACAGGGAGATAGGGAAATGGGCAATATAGGTGAAGGAGAGTGGGAGATAAAGTTAATGAAACTTCAATAGTTTAGTATGATGGTAGATGATAGTACACTTGTGGTGAGCATAGCATAACGTATAAACTTGTTCAATCACATGTTGTACACCTGAAATTAATGTAACATTGTATGTTAACTATATTCAAAATTGTCTGAATTCGCTTTTCTATTAAGTAATCCAGTATTACCAAAGTAATAAAAACATGTTTTATTTAAAATTCTGCCATGGACATGGACACAAAATCTGTATAAATCTCTAGCTTAACTAGAGCAACCAAATTCCAACTACACCATTCCAGCTCTAAGTTAACATCACAGGAAAACTGATGAACACATTATTCCAGAACATATCTAGCCTACTTTATAAGTGCCTATTTAATTCAATTCCACATGCCATAT